CTTGAGTCATCTTTCTTGCCCTTGTTCTTATTCTTGTACTTGTCTTTCTTGGGCTTTGTGTATTGATGTGCTAGATGACCAAGTTCTCCACAATTGTAGCAATCCATCTCTGAGATTGGCTTCCTTCTAGTGCTAGTGAAGAACTTCTTTTTCTTTCCATCAAACTTGACGCCATTCTTGTTGAGCTTCTTTAGCATCTTGGCGATTCTTCTCACCATGAGAGCAAGACTTGCATCATCAACTTCATCATCACTTGAGCTCTCATACTCGATTCTTGCTTTGCCATTCTCTTGCTAGCCTTGAATGCTAAGTCTTTGTCTTTCTTCTTGGTAGAGGATGAGCCATCTTGTGGTGTGATGTGCATGTACATCTCATGAACATTGATCTTTCCCAAGATTTGAGTTGGTGTAGCGGTAGAAAGATCACCTTGATGAAGCACGGCCACAATATGCCCATATTTGTCAATGGGGAGGACACTCAAAAATTTTCTCACAACATCGGATGGTTGCGTTTGAGTAAGTCCAAGCCCATTGACTTCCTCTATAAGAACATTCAAGCGTGAGTACATTTCATTAGCACTCTTTTTAGGAAGCATCTCAAAAAAATTAAGCTTTTTCATAATGAGATGATAGTGTTCCTCATGCTCGCTCTTAGTTCCCTCATGGAGCGCACAAATGTCTAACCATAGTGCATGGGCATCCTTGTGGTTCCTCATCTGGTTAAACACATCTTTGCAAAGGCCTTTAAGATGGTGTTTCGAGTCTTTGCATTCCATTTCTCATACTTCACTTCATCGCCTTGAAGGTGCGTGGGATCCCGAGGTTTTAGGAATCCTTGTGAGGTGGCTCTAAGTATTCCAACATATAGAGCTTCTAAATATGCCTCCATGTGGATTTTCCAATAAGGAAAATCATCCCTCTCAAAGATAGGAGGAGGTCCATCCCTGTGAGACATCTTTCTCTAGACTGTTAAGCCTAAATACGTGAGCACGAGGCTCCGATACCAATTGAAAGGATCAAGATGCCCAAGAGAAGGGGGGTGAATTGGACTAATTCTAAAATTCTTTGCAATAATTAAACCCTACGGTTAGCCCACTTCACCTCTTATGCCTAGAAAGTGTTTCTAATGTTCTATCGCACAAAAGTTTTGCAACTTAAATTCCAATCCTACTCTAGCATGGCCATTCTATGAATGTAAAGACAAGAATTGAATTGCTCAAAGTAAATGCTCAAAGTAAAGAGGGAAGGAGGAACACGGCGATATTTTGCCGAGGTATCGGAGAGTCGCCACTCTCCACTAGTTCTCATTGGAGTACCCGCGCAAGGGTGTAGCTCCCCCTTGATCCGCGCAAGGATCAAGTGCTCTCTACGGGTTGATTCTTTGACACTCCGTCGTGGTGAATCACCCACAACCGCTCACAACATGAGTTGGGTCATCCACAAGCTCCGCCGGATAATCACCAAGCTCCCAATCACTACCAAGCCGTCTAGATGATGGCGATCACCAAGAGTAACAAGCATGAACTCTCACTTGACCAAGACAAGCCTAATGAGGGGGGGTGGATGCACACTTTGCTACTCTTGCTTTCACTAATGAGGTCTCTCTCTTAGATTCTCAAATCTCAATCACCTCATTAGGACCTTGTTTTTCTTGGCACTCTCAAGGGTGTTTCTCAGCTGTTGGATGAGCAAAAGTGACCCCTTGAGTGAATAGAGGAAGTATTTATAACCCCTCAATCAAAACGAACCGTTATGTGCCACTGTGGGGTGACCGGACGCTCCGGTCAGTTCACCCCGCAACCAAGCAATTAAGTTGTGACCGGACACTGACCAGCGTCCGGTCAGCACTGACCGGACGCGTCCGATCACAAAAACTACCCTCTGGAACCTTACTGATGTTGATCGGACTCTAGCACCCAGCGTCCGGTCACTTTGCTGCTCAGCGTCTGGTCAGTAGCCGGAACCTGACCAGTGTCTGGTCAGCACTGACCGGACGCGTCCTATCAGGATTCTCCTTCTCTGGAACCTTACTGGAGTTGACCGGACTCTGGCACCCAGCGTCAGGTCACATTTCACTCAGCGTCTGGTCGCATCCAGACGACTTCACCTTGATCAAATGAACTGATCGGACTCTGCGCCAGCGTCCGATCAACATTTGACCCTCCATTCATTTTCAACTCGTAATCAAATGTGAATGAAGTTCACTCCAATTGATCTAAGGGGTATTTAGGAGCTACCTAGTGCTAGTTAGACAAGTGTGCACCACACCTAACCCACTAGACTCATCTAGGTCAAGCTACCCGTCCATAACCCCTTAATAGTATGGCAAAAAAAAGTCCTAAACTAGTCTAAGTGTCTCATCAACACCAAACGATACTTAGAACTAGTCCATCCTTAACCTTGTCGTCCATCCTTTGAAAACCAAAACAATTTCCATCTAAGGGGCATGACAACCATGATTGCCCAATCAATTTTCATTACCATGACCTAACTTAATTGCATATGCAAAACACACGTTAGTCACAGTAATCTCGTATTGTCATTAATCACCGAAGCCCAACTAGGGGCCTAAATGCTTTCAATATTAATTAAGAATAAATTATTATTATGATATAAATGAGCAGATGGCCTAACTAATCAAACCGTAAACTAAAATTTTGAGCCTAATCTAATCTAACCAAAACAAATGTTTTTTCAAGTTGTCCGCATGTACCAGTGTAAATCTCTAAGCTATCCGCATATATCAGTGCAACTTTCAAAAAGGGGTGACATGTGGAAACCGAGACACGACGACAACTACTTTAATAAGATATTAAAATTACATATTTTTATGGATTCTTATTATAAGAAGTCACGGAACTTGATATCTAACCCAACAAATGGATAGTATGAAAACTAAAGTTATGATTCACTTGCTAGTAAATATTGTGTTTCCTACAATGAAAGAAAAAACTATTAAGGTTGTATTTTAATTTAATACAGAATTCATATGACATTATTATATTGTTGTCAATATTAATTCATATTATGGATACCATGGTCATCATAAAATAAAGTATAGTTTTTAAATTTTATAAAAAGATAAAAAATAGATATATAACATTGCGATCCTTGTTTTCATTGACGAGCCAATTCGTTTGTGATTGCTGCAACAAGCAGTCACAACATCAAAAGTAGCTGTCGCGGCCGCTGTAGTTGTGCAACAAGGTGAAACAAATAGATCGACAGCCTGTTCGCTTGGTCGTAAACGATTGTGGATTATAAGTTAGAATATTATTTTTTTCTCACACCAAACCAGCCACCAGTAATAATCCACGATCGTTTCAACCGAAACGAACAGGCTGCGAATGTTTGGTATTTTTTTCTTCCGTTGCGACCAAGGGGCATGTTTGCTAATTAAACACAAGTGAACCCTGCATATGTGCATGTTTGCTTGTATACTCTTATAGCTTTTTCCACGAACGTGCAATCATGCACGTGATTCATAAGAGGAAGGTATACTGTTACGGCTAGAAGAGACTATTGTTGATTCTCATATTCAGCAAGAGGAAGGTAATACCAAAATTTTGTCTATCGACGTCTATGTATTTAATTTGGATCAAAAGGAGTAATTGCGTGGAAGAAACAGGTATACAGAATTATCAATGGATAGGTCCAAGCACAGAGCATCGCTTTCATTCATGTATTAAGTCCTTGTGATGATGTACATTCAACTTTTTTTAATTGGTTTGGATTTGAAGCTTCTTCCTTCTCCTCCAGTCCTCCTCAAGTCACGTTCACATATAAACCAATCAGCTCCCATCCCAGGCCACACCAGACACCAGACACCACTCGCAGAGCCAGGCATTGCACAAGCCCGGAGGAGGCCCACGCCCGGCGGCGGACGGAATGCGCCTGCGCCTGCCCCAGTACGCCTCTCTCACTCCCCTCCCCGTTCCTTCTCCCCGCTCCGTTCGTCAAATCGTCTCTTGGGACGGGCGCCACGCACTCGGTCCACGCAGGATCTGAAGGCACGCACTGCCTTTTCAGTTTTCGTTTCCTTTGCTTTTCTTGGCAACACGCATCCAAGAAAATCTGCAGAAATCAGGCAAATTGGGATTTGGGCCCAAATCTATCCTGATACAGTCAGTTGGTACTTGGTAGCTGATTGGCCGCGTGATTCGAGCGCCAATATTTGCCCAATCAGTAGCCTCCGCTTGTTGAAATCTTTGTCCGGTGTGGACTCGGTCATTGAAACCCGTCGCCTGATTACTTGGGTTGTTTTCCTTGCTGTTGAGCTTTGTGATATGAAGCTGCGATTTGTTCATTGCATTTTGGAGCTTTTACTGCCTGGTGAGCGAAACGATTATATCTTCTATTTGGAGTTTCAGCTACTGGGGTGTCGTTTCTACATTGCAAGATTTGTCGGTGTTAGTATTCGTACGCACATAATTCTATTCAGATGGACATCCTACACACATCTGAGATGCAATCTCTAAACTAAAGAAGAAAGAAAGAAAAAAGCTAGTGAGATATTGCTAAAATCCTTGGCCTCAGCTGTGCAGCCACTGAGTTGATGTTCTCGAATTACTTCTCTTTCCTGTCCAAATTGGAGCGTTACACCTTACTCCGGCCAATAGTTTAAGTAAATTCTACTGCTCTAAGGAGCCAGTAAAGTATGGTGTTACAAGCAGCGGCAAATAACCTGTTTTGTAGATCTGTTGATAAATTGTCTGAAATCTCAGAGAAATTACTTGAAATCTGGCATTCTGTTGACCATTCCAATTCTCCACGTTGATGATGTTGGTATCTTGAAATTTTTGTAGTAACCAGTTAGCAATTCAACAAAATGTGCATGCTTCATTGTTATGCGCCTAGTCTTGCTTTATTTTATTTCAGAAGCAAAACAGACTGCTGAGTAGTTGGACATTCTAGTAAATAAATTCTTATAGTTTAAGCATTAGTTTGCTATTTGAATGCTTTGCTAACACTGAACGTATTACAGGTGAACATTCTGCTCTGATGGCAAAGCAGTATTACGCTACGAGCAGCCTCGTGGTTGGGTATGCTCTGTGCTCGAGTTTGCTCTCAATCATCAACAAATATGCCGTGACAAAGTTTGGTTACCCTGGCCTCCTAACTGCTCTACAGTACTTGACATCTGCCGCTGGTGTTTGGATCCTTGGAAAGCTAGGCTTTCTCACCCATGACCCCTTCAAATTGGAGACTGCAAAAAAGTTTGCACCAGCTGCTCTTGTCTTCTACCTAGCCATATTCACCAACACAAATCTCCTCTGCCATGCCAATGTAGATACATTCATAGTTTTCAGATCCCTGACCCCGCTTTTGGTTGCTATTGCCGACACAACTCTCAGGAAGCAACCATGTCCTTCAAAGTTCACATTCCTATCCCTTGTGGTCATCTTGGGAGGAGCAGTTGGCTACGTGATGACAGATTCAGCATTCAGCCTCACAGCATACTCATGGGCGCTTGCGTATCTGGTGACCATAACAACTGAAATGGTGTACATCAAGCACATTGTGACAAACCTGGGGCTCAACACCTGGGGCTTTGTGCTTTACAACAACCTTCTTTCGTTGATGCTGGCCCCGATCTTTTGGTTCCTTACAGGGGAGCACAAGTCAATCTTTGCAGCGATGGAATCAAGGGGCGAAGGCTGGTTTCACCTGGACGCCTTTGTAGCAGTGGCATTGTCATGCGTGTTTGGGTTGCTCATTAGTTTCTTTGGTTTTGCAGCGAGAAGAGCTGTATCAGCAACCGCATTTACTGTGACCGGGGTTGTGAATAAGTTCCTCACCGTGGTTATCAATGTCATGATCTGGGACAAGCATGCAACTGCATATGGTTTGGTTTGCTTACTGTTCACTATTGTCGGTGGAGTACTCTATCAGCAATCAGTTACAGTGAAAGGAAACAGTGCAGCGCAGCGTGAGCTGGTACCCGAACAACCTAAGGAGGGCAATGGTAGCAAAGAGTTTGATGAGGAGAAACAAAGATTAGTTTCTTCAGCTAAATAATACAGTGCACGAATCACTTGCATTGATTGGATTCGTTTGCAGATTTATTGTTTGGCCTTGAATAGGCTCATTTTTGTGTCTGACCCTTGAAACGAATCAACCATGAGGGGATACTAGTGGAAGTAGTACTTGCATCAACTGCTGTTGTTGAATTTCACCAAGATTGCAATATTTTGTTCACTACTGATACGTAGGTTTGCTACTATAGCTGATAAAAGCGGTTCTGGATATGGCATATTTTCTTATGTGTCTCCTCTCAGTTTTTCTACAATAAATATTGCTATTCAATATTCTTCAGTAAAATGACTTGCACGTAATTTACAGTGTTTGATGCAGTCCTGTGGCACCCCTCTCCTTGTCATACATTTCAATGCCTATTTCTGTGCAATTATTTTCCCTTTAAAATTAGCAAGTATGTTGTCAAAATTGTTAGACAGTACTCCCTCCACGTCCCTAAAGGAAGTCCTTTTGGACAATGACACGGTCACTAAAAACAACTTTGACCGCTATTTTTTGCTATAAAATATTTATAAAATATAGTCAATATATACTTCTATAAAACTATATTTCGAGATGAATCTACTTACATCACTTTCATATTTTCAAACTCGACAAAAAAAAAATTTATTTGTAGTCAAAGCTTAAGACAACCCAAAACGACCTTCCTTTAGACTGTCTTCAACAATGAACCCATATGGACATCCAAACCCAAAATGAGTAGTAAGAAACCTAAAATCAGCCTTCAACAGAGTACCTATACGGGAGATCTATTTTAGGTTGCCTGAGATGCACAACCTAAATATGGGTATCATCTCTCATGTAAACCCATTTGCAGAAATAATTCTCTTTTGGGTCTTGTTGTTGGAGAAGATGCCGAATAGGTATTGAACCTTTTGCCTGTAGCGCTACCCAAAGGACGAATGTGTCTTGTATTTTGTATGTTGTTGTTGGAGATAAGCCTTAGGAACATGGAGGGGATGGTGCTGTGGGTATTTCCTGTGTTCTGATCTGTGCCTATGTAAGGTTTTCAGGTCCAGTTTCCCTTATAAACTAGGTCAATTCTATTCTTCTTAATTAAAAGATAGAGCTCCCGCCATTACTTAAAAAAAAACATGGAGGGAGTACAACATCTATCCTTTTCAATCTTTGTACGATGGCTGCTTCACACGTTTTTTACACACAAAAAAAATGTTGTTGGAGGTATGCCCTCCTTGCTATCTGAATGAGCATCTTAAGACAGGAGACTTTCATGCTTTGGAGCAACAACAAGAAGACGTTCATGAATGAACAAAAATTAGATGTGCACTTGTATGCACTACATGTTGGATGAAATTTTTCAGGAAATTCAATTCTTTCCGCCGCAAATTTGTGGAATGGAAGTAAGCATATGCCTGCAGATATTTACTCAACGTGCGGGCCAGAATATTTGCAGACTGAGCGGAGCAAAGAAACATTGGAAAAATATTTTTCGGCGGCAAAAATATTTGAGGTCACCGCTTACAGTTACAGAGCACTATGTAAGACATCTGGAATGTCATTGTGTCCGCTCCTGAGAACACAAAGAAATGCTCCGCTAATCATCTGGAATATCCATTGTTGATTCTCATGTCAAACTGAATTGGAACATTGGAAACCAATGTGCGTCCTGTTCACTTGGGCTTGTTTGGCTGATAAGCCATGGCTGAAAATACTGTTGGCTGATTTGGTACGAGAGAAAAATACAGTTCGTTGGCTGAAAAAGTACCGCTTATAAGCCAAACAAGCCCAAACGAACAGGGTGTGATGCTCCTCTTACTTAGCACTGTTTACTTAATGGCAGAACCCTGTAAAATTATTATCACTAGTAGCCCTTTATTTTTTTTAGATAGTGGAGTAGTAGCCCTTTATAGAAAACCAAGAAGATTTCTACTGTACTCGCTATCTTTCTCCACAACGTTCGAACCAAACTTCATTATCGAACAGCAACAAAATTACAAAGCTTCAAAATTTCATTACTGAACAGCAACAAATTGCAAAGTTTTGAAGCGTAGACACCTTGCGTGCAGAATTATGCACAGGTAAAGGCTGTTAGAAATTCCCTTCTCTGGGCCCACCTTGTGTTAGATCTTTTGGCACTAATGACATGTAAAGTGGACTAGACTTGCATGATCGGACTAGGAACCAGAAGAAATCGTATTCTCAGAATGAACAAATGTTATCAGTTCGTACGAATTCCATGACAGTTCACCACAATAATGCAAGAAACTCAGCTGTTTCAAACATTCAGACAATCCAGTTCTTCCCAAAGCAAAACTGCACAAGCAAAATCATAAGACTGCAGATCGCAAACTGTGGGTTCAAATATTCATTTACCCAACACAAGACTCAACTGACTTGCAATGTATACATTAACCATTTGTGGCCAGTAAAACATTTGGAACATCTATCACCGTGTAACCGAAACTTCAGAGAAAGAAAGAATCCAAATGGAAGGAACGATACTCTGTTCCTGTTAGCAACAACGGAATATCTCAGAATATACAGGGCAGAAATGGCATCCTGTCTCTCCATGTTTGTTGGTTTCCTGATTTGCAGACGGTTCAACATCCACATATACCACCAGATCTTTGGAGCCAAAATTCAGAAGCAAGTGTTCTTTCACATCAATGTACAGATTATGTTTCTGGTGGCATGTTTGCGTAGAGGAATGTGTAGAAGAGTTCCACTTCAGGCATACTTCGGATGATCTGAATGTGTTTGTTCTTGTTTGGCTCCTCAAGCAATGGGGAACTCAGGTGACCAACTTTGGGCAAGAGCGTTGCTAAGGGCAATCCCGATCCTGGAGTTACAATCTGCACACCCAGATCCTCTACCACCACTTCCGCAATCTTCCTCAATGACCTCTCCATGATATTTCTGAAATCATCACTGCAATAACACAGTTCCAAATGGTTATGTAATATACTCATGGAAGCAACCACAGACACCAAAGGAGGCAACCACAGACAAGCCATTAATTCCAGACATACTAAAAACCAATGATTCTGTGCATTCACAACATCTTTACAATATTCTCTTGCAATTTGCAACATAGTAACTGTCTCAATGGGGAGGGTTCCTTGCACGTGGTTGTTATCATCACATAGATATGATATACTGATATGATATTTTCCCACTGTTCACCTAAACGGCCGTTTAGCCCGTTTACACACCGTTTAAACGCTACACGGTGGTACACTGTTTCCGTTTAATCGGTTGTTTTGACCGTTTAAACGGCCGTTTTCCCCGTTTAAACACCCGTTTCGCCCGAATAATGGGCTAAACGGTAGGTGACCGACTGTTTACCGTTTAGCGTTTAGGATAACACTGTATTTTCCATATCACCATTTCATTCACAGAAAGGAAAGGCAATGCACACCAAAACTCCACCCCTAAATACAAAGGACCTTTGTTGCTCCATAGTAGATTAAAAAATAATGTTAAATGCTACCAATGCAGTTTGGTAAATACTACACAGGAAGTTGACAATAGCATGGCATAGATAGCTACCTACTGTAGCATCTACTTGTATCTGCTTTGACTCTTTCATTTTGAATCCCCGTACATATATAGTACAAAAGCAAAACTAACAAATTACGCCAATACAAATCACATGGCATATGACAAGGATCAGAGTAAACACTATGCAATCTAATAGGCAATAATAGTAGTAGTAATGAATTCAAAGCTAACTGATGAAAGGAAAAAAAGAAAAGAAGAAAACTGGTCATACAACTGATTGAGCAAAGAAAAACTACATCGTTGTGATGCAAATCATGAACTTGCAATAACTGAACAGAGCTCAATGCAATATGCCAATATTACCTTGCCAGTACTATTCGTGTCTCAGACATTAGTTGGTCTAGCTTTCTGAAATCGTTTAGGAGTGATGAATCATCAAAGCCACTACTGGACACAGCCATCAATTGTGCATAAACAGGGGGATTCTCAGGCACAAGATAGTTTATCCATGAGTTATCTTGACAAAGACCCATGAACATGTCCAGTATTTGTAATACTGTCTGCAATACTTGGTCCATGTTCATTCGGTCTTTCAGTTGCTTCCTGCAAAATTTTCACATGTCAGTACTCAGTATCACTAAGGGGAAATACACAACCAGGAAGGCAGGAACAAATTTCCTGAAGGTAGCCAGATGGTTACTTCTGGGAACCAGCCAAAGCGGCCATGCAATGTATCACTAATTTGGGGCAGATGTTAGCAGATACCCTTATGAACATTGTACTAAGAATCGTAAACTGTTTAAGACACAAATTGAATATGATGGAACGAAATCTAAACTAAGAAACGAGGTAGCTGGAAAACCACTGGTAGCCAGCTCGTTGACAGGCACTTAATGGTATAATGTTCACAGTTGGATTTCCAAGAAAAAAGAGGAAATGAGATATTGTGTATCAAACTAGCTAATTTATGCTGAATACAGAAGTGTGGATACTCTTCATAGCTCAGTTCACACGAATTTCAGCATGTAAAATAAACAAGCATTTTGCTAGAAAAATAGATGCATATTCCATGATTTATTGAACATGCTGGTAACAACTATCATAAGGATAGGAGAAGATATATTTACTCTTTTAGGACTTCTGTTGCTGCGCGTTGCATTTGCGTTATGAATGCAGTGATTTTGTCAGTGACAAGATAATCAGCCATTGCAAGGAAGCTCTTGTGTCCATTTTCACTAAAGGTGTCAGATTCTGTCTACAAAAGAAGTGAGACATTTCCATGTCAGGAAGCAGCTCGAAACCAAGTTAAGTTAGTGTTTCTAACATAATTTCAATTATTTAACCATCTAGAGTGCAGGTATCAATAACTTGAGCAAGAAACAAATGAAAGTAGTTCAAATGGAAATGCTTGAGCATAGAATGTGGAGCCTGGGGCAAAGATCTACCTGTAACTGTGCACCATTGGTACCCCGGGCAATATCTAAGTAGAGATGCCTGCCTAAGATGGTGACCTGAACTCTAACATACAAGCTAAGCAATGTCATTGCCCACATTGAAGAAACTGTCTTTGTGAAACCTAAGAAATTGGAGAAGCCGCAAAAACAATAACATCATTAGAAATGCATATTTATGATTATAGACAATGAAAAGACCCAGCAAGTCATGCATAGCACAGAATAGAAAAGATAAGAAATACCATACTCTTAATTTTAATCTCCTCCCAAGTATCATACTTCTCCTTTGGTGACAGCGCACTTGAGTCTACCTTCCCTCGCCGTAGCTTGTCAGTCAATTTCGAAATATCCAGCTCACTCGTTATCTTATCACTGAGATGATGCATGGCCAAAGGCAATGTGGTAGTGTCGCAGATCCTCTTCACCTTCTCAAAGTGTGCCTGGAGCCTACAATAAAATGGAAGCATTCAAAAGAATTAGAATGCAAGCTGGTTTACTAAATATGGTGGCACTTGCTTATTCTGAAACAGGAGCAGTTTCTATGATTAATACTAGTTCAACAGAAGAAATAAAAAGTGGACTTGATGTTTCTCCAGCAAATATTTGCCCTATCACGCAATTAACGTTAACATGTAATGGTGCGAGCTATGACCATTCAAATCCATGAGCAACATGCGACGAATGATCTAAATAAGGTGGGCGTGGGACGAGAATCTCTCTCAGATGGTTTACCATAATAAAGGATGTGTAAAACAAGTGAGCGTATCTATACTAAAACAAGATCGAAGTTAGCATCGTTCTTGTCCAATTCAGCTGCGAATTGAATCAGCCCTCAACCCAATCGAGCGCAAGAGACACTAGACAAAATCCATGCGGAGTCCCAGGCTCAGCTTTGTGAATTGGGGGCGAATTCCCCTCTCACGCAGCGGAGCAATCAAGAACAGGAGCGCGCAGCCCCAAGGGCAAAGGCAATGCAAGAAGTAGCAGTAGAGAGAAACCCAAGTAATCCAGCCTTGGGCGTGGGGAAGTGGGGGAGTAGAGTAAGCTCTTACTGGTTCTTGACAAGGTCCTCGGCGGCCCGCTCCTCCATGGCGCGCAGCTGATGGACCCGCACGAGCTGGGCACGGCGCGCGTCGTAGAAGCGGTAGGCGGCGTACCCCACCCCGGCGACGCCCAGGGAGACAAGGATCTTCCGGCGGTGCCGCGCCCAGAACCCCCTGCACGCACGCACGCCCGCCACCCAGAAAGGGAACGCCGTCAGGCAATCCGCCGAACGCCTTGCTGGTAGGCCGCGGGCGAGCCGAAATCCACGAACCCCCGGTAGAATCACTCACCTTGCCGAGGCCAGCATGGCGGCAGGGGTTGAGGTCGCGAGGGCGAATCCGGCGATGGCGACGGCGACGGCGAGGCTGGGTTGGTCTGCCTGCGGTGGTCGGGATCAAGAAGGCATGGAGGACTGGAGGAGGGGCGTTGAGAGTTGAGATGGAGACTGAAGAGACCGGACTAGCCTGCTTGTACGAATACGATTCCGCCAGGGGGGTAAACGCAAAAGAAGCGAGGGAGAAGAGAAATGACCGTGGTCATGTATGTGGGTCCACCGGTCGGCGGGGTGCCCTGGCCCGAGGCCCCCAGCCTCTTCTCTCTTCTACAGTGCCGCAGGTTTGGATGCCCTCGGACTTCAATTTTCAAGGATAAAAAAAAGATGGGACAGATCAACATCTATTTGATTTTGAAAAAAAAGAATTGGGTGGATCAGTCAATCCTATAATTAAGGGTGTTCATTTAGACGAAAAACATAGAAAATGGAATTGTCGCCTCCGAGGAATACTCTCTCTATTCTTTTTTTTTATAAAACATAGGACTTGTTAGCTTCGCTAAAAAAACAAGACGAAACACTATTCCGGCTGATTTGTTGTGAGAGAAAAACATTGTTCCAGCTAAAAAAACAAGCTGAAAAGTACGGATTATAAGACAAACGAACAGGACCACAGATTGACATGGTATAAAATCTTTCAAATTACACTCTACTTATAAACTTATGATAACTAAATAATATGTATTATAATTATAAATCTAACCGTATCAAAATTACATATTGAATACATCCTCTCTAATCGAAACTCTATTTCTAGCTGCAAAAACGATAAACATTTTCTTTATTCGAATGACAACACTTATACATGAGTTATATCCATGCCGTTTAACCTTAAAAAAGTAATACTCTTAAATTTTAGAATAAATTAAAAAAAACATGAGCCGTGTCAGCTAGTATCGTGCCAAGATGCTGGTGTGTTTGGTTTGTGGAGCCATCCCATGTTTTATGAGGCGATGCATCATGAGTTCATTCTATGAATTTTGGTGAAATTAACCCACTCCTCATGCATATACTAATTATTAGCATGTGAGGAATGAGATGATGAATCAACTCATTCCATTTCATAAAAACCAAATTAAAAAAGTAAGGAGTGAGAAAAAAATAAAATCTACCTCATTTCTCAAAACAAACCCACATGAGATCCCCGTAGAACGTTCTGACGAGGCCCAAAATGGCCTTATCAAACACAACCTTGTTTTGATGAAGTATATGAGCTTTTTACCTGTATGGCCCTGGACAAAATGCATCTTTCTTGTATGGCCTTTTTTTCTTGAACTTACCTGTATGGCCCCAAAATGAAAAAAATTTCTTCCATGGCCTTCTGTCAAGTCTGTTAGGGTATTCTGTTAGTTTGCCCACTGGTTGACATGCGAAAATGTCTAAATTACCCTTCTGCTCTTTGTCCCGGTACCGCCGCATCCGACCCAGACCCAGCGGGCAGAAAGATAGGGAGACCGAGCGTGTGGAAACAGAGGATGGGGGAGGGCGCCGTCGCCGGGATCTCCGGCCCCGGATCCGCCGAATCCACCTTCACCTGGCCCCACTCCCAGTGTTGGTTGCCGTGGGGGAGGCGCCGTAGCCCAACGGGTGGACCGCGCGCGGCCTGGGCTGGTCCAAAGAAGAGAGCACGTGTCAGGGACTGTCTAGTAGTGGGCTGGCATGGACGACCCATGCAGGCCCAAGATGACAGGGCATGTGCATTACAAAGGAAGGCAAGGAGCAGCCATCCAGGGCATCGAAGAATTAATCAGAAGTCTACTGTTTATCATCCTCCCCAAGTAGCTCTCTCTCTCTTCTCCTACCTCCAGCACCTTCTAGAATCTTCTAGTACCTTTCTTCTAGTTTTGATTCCCCTACTTGCTGATTCTAGACCTCCCTCCCCCTGAGGTCTTATATCCTGCTACCTCTGAATCGAGTTGTTAGTGATCCAATCGAGTGTGGTTGCTAACAATCAGTATCAGAGACAGTCGATTCTCGATATCTATCACCATGAGTCCGCTCGACTGCAAGCTCATCCTCGACGCTCTGGCCAAACTGTTCGATGACTTCGACGCTCGGTGGGAGCGCCATTTCTCCGACACCTAGGCCATACACGAGACCTCTCAGGTCATTTCTGCTCCAACCCAGGCAACAGCCGTCGGAGCCGACAACTAGGGCGGTCTCTTCAGTGGAGACGATGACTCCATCGCCGTGGATACCGACGCACCAGTGGTGGCTGACAACTAGGGAGGTCTCTTCGAAGGGGACGACGTCTCCATCGTCGCCGACCAGATCCGCAACGACGCCGGTGCCAACGGGAATGACCTCACCTCCTCTGTCCCCGACACGCTCATCCATGTCAACTAGGGCCACGCCATGGGCCCATCATCATCGACCACCCCACCATCATCGACCCTGCCGCCCTCCAGGAGCTCGTGTCCCTGCCTTCGGACGACTTCACCCAAGCCTTCAGCGCTTCAGCCTCCAAGCCGCTCGGCCCCACATCTAAGTGTGTCTCTATTGCGCTCAGTTGTAGGGTCAAGATGGCAGACTAGAGTGGGGGTGAATAGTCTTTTCTAAATTTAATCGTACCGACTAACCGAAATAAATGCGGAATTAAAACAATCGGTCTAGCCAAGACTACACCCCTCTATCTATTTTCTCTAGCACCTTGCAAAGATCCTAATTAAGCAACTAAGGTGCCAAGCTAGCTAAAGCTCACCTATCTAATTCTAGGAGCAAGGTCACACAAACATATGCCACTAGTATTTTGCACACCGGGGAGCTCCTACATAATTCTAGTAAGCAAAAGCACAAAGCTCCTAAGCTCACTAGCAATGCTCAATAACAAGGCAACCAATGCCAAATTAGACAGCGTAAATACTTAGCTACATAAACTAAGTAATGTGACTAACAAGGTTACACAAACCAAATTAGCCACGCAAGGGAGCTACTTCTATGCTACACAAGCAAGAAGATAACTAGTGAGCTACACGAGCTAACTAATTACAAGAGCAACTACACAAGCACAATGTATATGAAAGTAATTACAAGCTTGTGTAAGGGAATTACAAACCAACGGGAAGAACAATGTTGACACCATGATTTTTCTTCTGAGGTTCACGTGCTTGCCAACATGCTACGTCCTCGTTGTGTCGACCGCTCACTTGGTGGTTCGGCGGCTAATTGGCATCACCCACCAAGCCCGCACATCGGGCACCACAAGAACCCACCTCGAAAGTGAGGGTAGCTCATTGACATGCTCAACTAGAGTTGCTCTTCGCGGCTCCCGCGGGGTGAGCACAATGTCCCTCACAAAGCTCTTCTCTGGAGCACGGCACAAGCTTCTTGCGGGCTTCGACAGAGACCACCACCACCAAGCCATCTAGGATGTGGCAACATCCAAGAGTAACAAGCACCACCGGCTTGCAACTCGATCACCTAGTGCCACTCGATGCAACCTCACGATGCAATCGCACTGGAATCGCTCACTCACACGATCGGATGAACACTATCAAGCTCAAGTAAGTTAGAGGGCTCCCAAGCACACCTACACAAGCCACCAAGCTCAAGGGTGCTTCACTCTCAGCCAAAGGCCAACCAACACTTATATTTATAGCCCCACGGGCTAAAATAGCCGTTACCCCTTCACTGGGTAGATTTCGGGACGATCGGACGTGCAGGTCATGTGCACCGAACGCGTTCGGTCGCTACATTCGGTCACTGCTTGACCGCCACATGTCCCATTCAAACGAAGTAGCCGTTGCCGCCCTACGACCCTCTCTAACATGCTCTGATGCGATGCATCGGACGCACTGCAACGAAGTGATCGTATGCAGGAGGGGCAGCATCTGGTCGAGTGCAGAGAGCTCCCAGAGCCACTCAACTATGTTTGGACGCATCCGGTGTGGCCGACCGGACATGCCCCTACGTTCGGTCCTCTCTGAACCAACACCCGCGCCCCACATCACCACGACCTAACGCTCAACAGTGATTGCTCAGCGTCCGGTCACTGCTACGAGCTAGAGTCTGGTCACCTCGGCAACTCTGCCCGCGCCTGGCCAGAATACCGGACACGTCCGATATCGATATCGGATGCGTCCGGTCACGTCGGGAACACTGCCGCCTGAGTCAGATATCGGACGCGTCTGGTCCTCATGTCGGACACGTCCGGTCACCCCATGACCAGCTCATTCAACTCCTTTTCTTCACCAACTTCTTCTCCTTTGCAAATGTGCCAACACCACCAAGTGTACAATACCTTGTGCACATGTGTTAGCTTTTCACAAACATTTTTCAAGGAGTTAACCACTCAACTTGCCGCGCCACTCGATCCTAGCAACGATGCAAAGTTAGATACTCGAGTGGCACTGGATGACCAATATACAAACAAGTTTGCCCCTCTTGATAGTACGACCATCTATCCTAAACCCGGTCAAGCACTTCTCTACACAATCTATGACTGGTGAAATGAAATGCCCTAGGTTATACCAACTGCTCCATTGTTGAACCAACACATGCACCAACCAATCACCAAATGATATGATCCACTTCATATCATCATGTGACCGTATTGGTTCATCGATCTTGACCTCACTTGCTTTTCACCGTTGCCTTCGTCCATCGGCGCCAAGTCTTGCTCAAGCTTCACCGCTACGCTGTCCATCGCTCTAAAGCCTCTAACTTGCCCTTCACGCTTGCAACCGGTCCATCAAGCCAAGTCTTGTCTTGATCTTCTCCACCTTAGTCACATGACTCAATGTCATGTCTCATATGCAATGAGCTCCTTCATCATCACATGTGTGAGCTTTGCAACATCTCCGAGCCATTTCCACCTCCATGGCATATGTTGCTCACACACATGTACCTATGGACTAATCACCTGTGTATCTCACATAAACACAATTAGTCCACCTAGGGTTGTCACTCAATTACCAAAACCAAACAAGGATCTTTCAATCTCTCCCTTTTTGGTAATTGATGACAACTCTACAAAG